AGCTTCCATCTTCAGGGTCAGATAAGCAATAAATCTCATTTGTATTTGGACTGACTGTTCCGATTGAGGATTTCATGGTTCTCTTCAGTCCTTCCAGACGATCAGGGTACATGCCGTTGTTCACGCCACTGCGCATGATTTCCTCGTCCCTTCTGCAGTTCTGAGCCAACTGCGCTGCAGAACTGACAGCACGACGGGTCCAAAGTTGCAGACTGCATCTGTCCCAACATAAAGCCTTCGGAAATGCACTCCATAAGGTTTTGCATACCTGCATATTGCATACTGGCGTGCATTTGTCTTGCTCCTACGATGGCTCTATTCTTATGCACCGTCCAACAACTAAGCCTCTCCATTTGTCTGCATCCTTGCAGAGATTGTCCTCCTTTAGCTTCTGCCCATCTTCTTCCGTCCTCACGCATGACGTCATTCCCAACTTCTGTTCCCATCTTTCCTTCGTGGAATGTCTGACGATGCCATCAGTATCTATAGCATACAGAGTGGAATGGTAAGGTGACTGGTGAAGAATGAACCTGAAATAATTAGGAAGGAACTGATCGCAGCCTGATCGGCGTACATCCCGACATTTGCCTGGAAACAATGAGAAAAATCACGAAAACTTTAGTCAGTATAACCTGTGCCCCGACCGAAATTCGAACCTAAAGCTTCCTGAATACAAATCTAGACGTCTACCGCTACGTCATCCTCGAATGTTGCCATCTTCAAGTCAGTCTTCCCTGTATGCTTTTTCATTTTAATTCCATACGTGAGGCGAGATAGCTCAGTGATTGGCTACAGCTGGACATCTGGGTTATATTCCAAGTTCTGACCCTGGGGCCCACCCAGCCTCCTATCCAGTGGGTACCGGTGGGATTTTTCCCGGGAAGTAGAGAGACCGGGACGTGAAGATGACAACTGACCCCATCTAATACTGGGATTAAGGAATGCTGGAGTTATGCCTCCATTCCTCCATACATGACATGGTGCTTAATTAAGCATAAAGACAACTTTGCTTTACTTTATCGTTCGTACTACATGTCCTTCTAATTCGTGACTATTCATTTGTCCTTTTGTAGACTGGATTCGTGCGCCTCAGGACAGGATCGAGAGATCGGCTCCTCCAAACTTGATAGTCTTCAGGCAGAGAATTTTTTGACCAGCTGAGTAACAGCCAGCTTATCTGCTATATAGAGATCCGGGGTCATGCAGTCCTGACCGCGTGACTTAGCCAGCGGGATGGGCAGTATGAAGCCTCTCGCGCATACTTTACTTGCGCAGGTTTCCAGTAATGAGCTGCCTAGCTGCTACAGTAGATTCGAAGGAACTGCCGATACCAAATTCAGATTAGATAAAGTTCATTCAGGTTTTCTGGGTTGTAATGCAGCGTAGTTCGGAGAAAACACCATGTTTCGGAGCCACATATGCCTTCATCATCAGGATCGAAGCGTAAGCTAAGCGAGAAACCAATAGAATCAGACAGCAAATTTAACTTTCATGTTTATCTGATATGTGGAGAGCCGCATATAATAAACGCATTTAAGTCGACTTTATACCCCATTACCAAGCAGAAAATTGAGCGGGTTAGGCCGCATGCGCGCTGCATGAAGACGTCAGAGCGTTTTACTGTTCACTGAATCGGTCATAACCCTTACAAACGGAGCTGATATTTTGCGACGATTTAACACACCCTATGAACTTCGTTTCATAAGTACACATTAACTCAGTGGTTCCCAGCATGGGGTCCGCGAAGGCAGTCCTGGTGATGCGTGTACATTACTCGTGCTCGTGTGACTCGCTATGCTCGCGAGTAATGTGGACGATATGACAAGTCACGAGATAAGCAAATTTAAATTTTTTAATTTAGAAACTATAGCCAATAAATTAAAATACGACTACAGCCTATATACAATACGAGTAAATATATATGGATCCTCACGCGCCGAAGCCTGGCGAGCAACTGAAGTAGTGTGTACAAAGATTTACGAGCACAAGCACGAGTAATGTGGACGCGCCTTTAGGGAACTATTTGGCCGTCCGGGGCGGCGCATCATAGCAAGGGTTGCTCAGTGGGTATAGTGACTAGGAATTAGACAACCGAAGAATTGGGGTTCGACTTCTGGCAGGGGCAAGGGATTTTTTTCTTCTCTCAATAGCGTCCAGACCGACTCTTAAGCACACCCAATCTCCCATCCAGTGAGTACCGGAAGTTCTTTCCCGGGGACAGAGCAAGCAGGGAGTGAAGCTGACTATTCACCCCCATCTAGCGCCGAGAGTAAGAATACGTGGAGCTATACCTGCAAATTCAATACATCTTCATCGCATAATGCTTACTGAAGCACAAGGAAATTTTATCTTTGTCTTATATGAAATGAAAAGTAGTTTCTGGTTCCGTTTCCCCGCACATCGTAACCTTTAATTGAGGCTATGCCATAGCTCAGGCGGTTAGCCGCCGGATTCCCATAGCGGGGGCCCAGGTTCGAGCCCAGGTCAGGTCATGTGGTATTTGTGGTGGACAAAGTGGCGCTGGGACAGTTTTACTCCGAGTATTGTGGTTTCCCCTGCCAATTCGCATTCCACAAATTGCTCCACAGTAATCATCTATCATCTGAGGCTGGTACAACAGGCCAAACAATGGTTGCAGTACAAGTGGACTCAGTCTCACACCATGAGGGCACNCAGGTTCGAGCCCAGGTCAGGTCATGTGGTATTTGTGGTGGACAAAATGGCGCTGGAACAGTTTTACTCCGAGTATTATGGTTTCCCCTGCCAATTCGCATTCCACCAATTGCTCCACAGTGATCATCTATCATCTGGGGCTGGAACAACAGGCAAAACAATGGCTGCAGTACAAGTGGACTCAGTCTCACACCATGAGGGCATAAAAACCATTAATTGACAGTAATCTGGAAATGTTAAGTTACAATGTAATTAAATCTTATAAATCCTTTTCAATTAATTATTCGTCGTTAGACGGTATATGGTATAGATACAGACACCGGCGTTAAATTGACGTCAGAAGAAATACTGTTTTGGAGTTCCGAGTGGCACCAGAATGTGGCTACTGGTACCAGTGAATAGTGCTCAAATACTGTTTTGGAGTTCCGAGTGACACCAGAATGTGGCTACTATACCAGTGAATAGTGCTCAAATACTGTTTTGGAGTTCCGAGTGACACCAGAATGTGGCTACTGTACCAGTGAATAGTGCTCAAATACTGTTTTGGAGTTCCGAGTGACACCAGAATGTGGCTACTGTACCAGTGAATAGTGCTCAAATACTGTTTTGGAGTTCCGAGTGACACCAGAATGTGGCTACTGTACCAGTGAATAGTGCTCAAATACTGTTTTGGAGTTCCGAGTGACACCAGAATGTGGCTACTGTACCAGTGAATAGTGCTCAAATACTGTTTTGGAGTTCCGAGTGACACCAGAATGTGGCTACTGTACCAGTGAATAGTGCTCAAATACTGTTTTGGAGTTCCGAGTGACACCAGAATGTGGCTACTGTACCAGTGAATAGTGCTCAAATACTGTTTTGGAGTTCCGAGTGACACCAGAATGTGGCTACTGTACCAGTGAATAGTGCTCAAATACTGTTTTGGAGTTCCGAGTGACACCAGAATGTGGCTACTGTACCAGTGAATAGTGCTCAAATACTGTTTTGGAGTTCCGAGTGACACCAGAATGTGGCTACTGTACCAGTGAATAGTGCTCAAATACTGTTTTGGAGTTCCGAGTGCCACCAGAATGTGGCTAACGGTACCAGTGAATAGTGCTCAAATACTGTTTCGGAGTTCCGAGTGACACCAGAATGTGGCTACTGTACCAGTGAATAGTGCTCAAATACTGTTTTGGAGTTCCGAGTGCCACCAGAATGTGGCTAATGTACCAGTGAATAGTGCTCAAATGTCCGCAAGCTTATGTAACTGTATAGCTATTCAAATGAACCTGCATAGCTCTCTCAGTACAGCGACTAGCTATGAGCTGCAAGACCGGAGAATCGGGGATCGTTTCTAGGCAATGGCAAAAATGTTTCTCTTCTCAACAGCAACTAGACCGACTCTAGAACACACCCAGCCTCTTATCCAATCGCTATTGGAGACTCTGTCCCCAATGGTAAAGCGGCCAGGGCGTGAAGCTGGCAACTCGACTTCGAACATTAGCTATATCTCCACTACCTTACACGCCATCAAGTTATGGTGCTTAATTAAGCACATCAGCTTGTGTAACTTCCATTTTTCTTCATCTGTTTTCTTACATAGCCATGACCGAGCTCAGTGGCTCAAACGGTAATTACTCTTCTGAATTGTTCTTGGTGAAACACGCTGCTTCCATCTTCAGGGTAGACCTGAACCTGGCTGAGAAAGTGGTTGGTATACGAGTACAGAGTGGGATGAAGAAAGGGACACTTCTCCGCCCGGGGTGTGGTTGCTTTCCTTGTCAATATCACAGCGTCCTCGCCAGCACAGTCTTTCTCGGGTCCCTTGGAACTCGCGACCATATTTTACTGCCTCAGATTTGAGATTCCCCTTTTCGTCGCCTCCTACGACTCGCAGGGTCACGGTGGAGGTATTCGACCCCGCCTCCACACGGGTATGGCAGCTGGTCCTCGTTAATAGCCTCGGCACGGACCACACAGAAAACGTCAGTTCCATTATTGCGTGTTCTCCAGTTGACGGGGAAACAACGTATCCACAGAGCTGTTCCCTAGCAACGGCTGTTGCACTGTAGCCTGTTTACACAGCTGTTACTTGGCAATGGGTCTATGTATATATGTTTGTACTGTATTCTGAATGTGCATGTTTCTGAGCCGCATGTCGGGTTTGGGCCTGCCATTGTTTTATAAAACTTTATTTGAGTTTTCCTTTCTGTTTTACATTTCTTTATATTACAGATTTAGATTAGCTTTTAGTTAAGTAACCACTTCTGTTCCACACTGGCTAGTTTAATGTGCCGGTATCTCAGTGGTCCTATGATAGGCAACGGCCCTGTCCTGTGTTGCAGACATGTGGTTCAAGTGGCCGCTCCTACACGTATGGGGAGACGCGCGCCTTCTGTCGCCGCTTCGCCAACGCCTTGCTAGGGGAGGTGGGCCTCCGACAGGGGGAAGTTCTGGGCCTGCTTCTGCCGAACATACCCGAGTACGCCATAGCGATCCATGGAGCCGTCGAAGCCGGCATCGTCGTCACGTTCGCTAACCCTCTGTACACCCCAGGTGAGGTCACCTTGAAGTCATCAGGAGAGAGTGGATTAAACCTTTGTGCATAGGTTCCAGCAAGGACAGGAGCAAGCCAGTCACGTCCCCCCCACCCAATTAAAGAAATCAAAATTAAAAAAAAAAAAAAAGAAGAGGGACCTACTGATTATCAATACCGAAAATTAAAATTCTTGAAAGAAATGTGTTCTATTCTGAACACCCAAAGGCGACGAATAACAATAGTCTCAAGCGGCTTAAACCTTATTTTGTGAGCATATTTTCTGGCTGCCTCCGCCCCCTCTCACTTTCAGAAAGAATCCTGATAGCTGCTATGCCTTTAAGAATAGCTTTTTACTCCACGTATCACCTGTCTTAACATTCAAAAACTTCCAGCACAGAGCGTGTTGGTGTGTTTCATGAGTCGTTATTTCTCACAGCAGCAATGACCGGTAGGTCTCCCTGTACGAGTAATAAACACGCAGTGTGTGTGGCTTCTGAGACGTGACTCTGTGTAGTCTGGTAGGTAGTTACCAACGTATCAGAGGAACCTGTTGTCCCTGCATTCAGGGAGGATGATAACCTATAAATGGAGGTTCCACCGTATATGTGCTCTTCACCGCCCGGCTAACGCTTTTCCTTGTCGTGGCCAATCACAAACGCATAGAAGCACATAGCTTTCTCCCTCCAGTGTACTGCCTCATATTCCCCTTCAGTCATCTAGCCGTTCTGTTCACACCAATATTTGTAGCGGTAGTCATGTGACAAAAAGGTAAGGCATATGAAGACATATGGGGGTGGATGTATAGGTCCACGTTTTATTGACCTCGGCACTAGTTGATGAGTGGTCAGCTTCACCCCGGGAAAAGATCCCCCAGTACCCTCTGGACAGAAGGCTGGGTGAGCCCCAGAGTCGGTCTGAACGACGTGGACCCTATCGGGACTCGAACTCCGACCTCTCAGTCGTCCAGCCAGTCGCTATTCCGCCACCGATAGCCATGTGATAACCATCGTTAAACCAGACGGGGTTAGAGGGGAAAGCCATGTTCCACAGCCCCAGTGGGTCTAAACTTTCGCTGTATGCAAAGCTGTGCATGGAGAATGCCAGACTAAATAAGTAAAATCTCACTTCTACTCATTATTTCCATTTTTAGATTTTGTCTTTGTGTCTGAGATTAAGCTGGAACTGTTGACAAAACTGATATTACGGCCACAGTTTATTTTAATTGTCACAAAGCAGAAGGGACCCAGAGAGCGGCCGAGCGCCGTAATATGTAGGCCCCTCCGGGGCCAGGCCCAGTTCCTTATACATTTTTAACCTTACATCTCTTTCGTGTGCAGAGGAGATCAGGCGCCAGTTCACGAACGCGGGGGTGAGGGTCAGCGTCACGATCCCCCAGTTGCTGCCCATCATGACAGAGGTGGGGCCGACGCTACCAGACTACAAGTGCACCATAGTGATTGGTGAGGACGCTCATTCGGCGGACAGGACAGTGCTGTCCTTCCGGCAGCTGCTGATCGAGTCCTTGCCTGCAGACATCCCCAGAGCATCACCAGATGACGTTGCGCTACTGCCCTACTCCAGTGGTACCACGGGGCTGCCTAAAGGGGTGAAGCTGTCCCACCGGAATCTGGTGTTTAACCTGCAGCAAGTGTTGCATCCTGACATCGTACTGCATGTTCCCACAACAGGCGAGCTTCTATAGAGCACTAGACTATACACTAGGATAAGGGAGGAGTGGAGACGAGGCTCCACTCACTCACGATGACACACTAGGCTAAGAGAGAGAAGACGAGGCTCCACCCATTCATAATGACACACTAGGCTAAGGGAGAGAAGACGAGGCTCCACTCACTCACGATGACACACTAGGCTAAGGGAGAGAAGACGAGGCTCCACTCACTCACGATGACACACTAGGCTAAGAGAGAGAAGACGAGGCTCCACTAACTCATGATGACACACTAGGCTAAGGGAGAGAAGACGAGGCTCCACTCACTCACGATGACACACTAGGCTAAGAGAGAGAAGACGAGGCTCCACTCACTCACGATTACACACTAGGCTAAGGGAGGAGAGAAGATGAGGCTCCACTCACTCACGATTACACACTAAGTTAAGGGAGAGAAGACGAGGCTCCACTCACTCACGATGACACACTAGGCTAAGGGAGAGAAGACGAGGCTCCACTCACTCACGATGACACACTAGGCTAAGAGAGAGAAGACGAGGCTCCACTCACTCACGATTACACACTAAGCTAAGGGAGGAGAGAAGACGAGGCTCCACTCACTCACGGTTATACTCTAGTAGTTAGCAATCTTTTTTTTTTTTTGCATGAGGACCAATTTAGGAAGTATAAAAAATACACGTATTTATGACCAGTATTTTTAAATGAAAACAAGAACTTCTTTACTAATTTACTTTTAATGAGTCCAACGGAGGAAAATATTGTCACATGTATGAGCGACTATAAACGAGGTTTGGATTGGTAATTGAATTTATTGAACGCTTATACACGTACACACAGTTCATAGCTACAAGTAACTATAACGCTGTGACTGAATCACACACTCTGCAGTTCTCTAGTATAGCACGCACTAATTCCTCTCAGTCTGCTGTCTTCAACAGTCGTTGCCTGGTAGCGACTTTCAACGGACATTCCCCATATTTTGGGTTCCTGAACCATCTCCTTGCCTCAGCTACCAGCTTCTAACAGCAAATGCTCACAACGAGGGANTGAAAATGATTGTTTTTGTGCTATATACAAGTCCTCTGTCAGGCCTGGCTTTGCAAAGCAGATGATGCCTAGCTTACATATCTTATGCTAAAATGGCTGCTTAGTCACTTGAACAGTCATAAGCTTGATCATCGCCAAGTTTGGGCCTTTTAAAATTTCATTAACTCTCACTAATTTTCCTGCTTATAACACCTCAGCTTAGACTGTGCAGAAAGCACCACCCCTCTGTGTGCGCACAGCCATTGGCTCAGACCACACAGAAAACACCGATTTCCAGCCAGTCCATACCCACGTTAGGAAACTGTTACACAGTAACGGGCGTTGTTCACTGCATGTATGTATTCTTACAACTTAGATTACCCTGTACACATTTACTTCCGTCTTTAATGCAACTTTGTTTACAATTTCTCCCCAATTTAAAATCACATTAAAATTAAACTGCGACATGTTTCGGCCTTACTTGGCCATCCTCAGGCAACTCTTCATTTGTTTAAATCTCTAGGCTGCATTTGTTCTGAAGTTAAAATATTCCAGTGGTCTTGTATTTTCGTCATTCACATTAAAATAAATATACTTGAGAACATCACTCTTATCTTTTCTTGCACAACCTTCTTCTTGGTTGGCATCCATGCATTCTGTAATGTATATGTTTACAATTTTTATTAAATAGTAAAAAAGTAAAGGAAAGTTATCCCTGTACCAGGCTGTGAAGGCCCATAGGGTTGTGAGACGTTAAGGGTCTCACATTAACTAGACAATTGGCTCAAAGATGGCGGAAAGGTTCTCAGCCACGCACCGGCTGTGCTTTACTCCCCAGGAAAATTATTTAATTAATTAAAGGCTGAGTGAACACCAGGGCCATAATATGGCTGGAAGGATTAGGCCCCTCAACCAACTACACTACCACGTGTCCCCTTACAATTTTTATTATAGTTAAAAAACATAACATAAATTGTTAAGAGTTGGGAAGTGTACCATATTATTTGAGCAATACTGGATTTTCCACAGCCAAAGCTAATTCTTGAATACTCTTTTTCTTTCTTGTCTTGGCAAACATTTCATTGATGGTTGGTTTGTTCTTTCCAGATTGCTATTTAGTTCATTTAGGCATTGTGTGGTATAAACAAGACAGCAAAATCACACAACCAGTCATGATCAGTATGCTGTGGAAAAGACTTTCCCTTCATGTTCATGAACATATTAATTTCCAACTTTGATTCGTATACATGTTCAAGCACCTGCCCTCAACTCAACCAGTGCACTTCTGTTCCCTAGCAATACTGGTGGAGCTTATTGTACCATATCAACCCTCCATTTAAACCATCTTTCATAGACAAAGAGAATAATAAAAGAATTCACCTTTATAATGAATATTTAATGGAATTTTTATTTTTGTCAATATGTAATGGTCATTTGGCTCCTGAGTTATCAAGACAAAACACTGAAAGAGACATTTTTGAATATTGGACCAGCAGGAGTGTCTGTGCTTCACCAAGTTTACGATTTATTTCTTTGCCAGTGTGTTAATAGCTAATATTTAAAAAAATAACAATACTGAAATTAAGAATCTGAAGTTCATTCCTTAACTTAAAAAACTGCAAATGAGGATTTGAATTGTATCCAGAAATTCTACCACAATATTTATTCATCATTTTATTGACCATATTTATTGTACACATTGATAAGTGTACTGAATAAAATACCCACTGTCTTTGGTTGTCCTTTGTTAAGTTTGCAGTGGGAAATAGAAAAGTTACATCATTGCACCAGATGAATGCTAACACTATTCAGAAAAAGATATGAGTACAGTTTTCTTCTGCAGTATATGGTGTAGGAGTGTAATATACAGCATTTGGTGATGATAAATATTCATGTTCCTCTAAACATTGCAACTTTATGCTGTATTATATGTGGACATGATATGATGTTGCAGAGGAAACACAAGAAGTGGTGTTAAGTGTTTTGCCCTTCTTCCATATCTATGGTTTCAATGGGATACTCAATACATCACTCTTCTATGGTCTGCACGTGGTATCCATCCCAAAGTTTACACCAGAGGACTACATTGCCTGTGTAGCAAAATTCAAGGTAACAACAAGAATAGTAATAATTCATTTCTTAGAGTGGTTTTCAACAGCAGTGGTCTATTAGTGACAAGCACCTAAAATACATGATAAATACAAAGGAAACAACAGCAACAAAAACAGCATGCAATAATTATCTCGCTAAACTGTTCTGACTCCACTCGTCAAATCAGAATTGGTCTTTCCATCTTTTGTATGGTCTGGCTCATCCTCTCATACCTTTCAGTGACTACTGGTAAAATTGTCATTAAATCTACTTTCACTCATTCTGTCCAGGTAGTGGAAACAGTTAATCTGATATGAGCTATTTTGCCTGCGACATTAAATTTGTGTAGCTGTCTACTGGTTGGTTTCTGATGCACAACCTGCAACAATCTTAAGGAACCTCATTTCAGCTGTCTGATCCATACAGAAATGTGGATGCAGCCACCACTCTATAAAGCTTCAAGAGCCGCTGTTATTGCACTGTCACTTCTCTTAGTTGTATGACATGTTACCAATGTAATTAAATGCTGAAAAACAGAGAGACTGTACTGGGGGGGGGACACGCACAAGCGAGCGCACACACACACATATCAAGTGATCAACAATATCTGTTGAGAATAAAGTAATGAAGTTCATGGAGTGTTTTTGTTTGATCTGAACATCCAGATTATCATATTATGAGCTGATTGTGTAGTGTTAAATTTTTCACAGATGATTTGTCGCTATCCTTGCCATTATTGGTCACTTTCTCTGAGACACTTCTGATGATTTTCATCATCCTTTAGTCTGTGAAAGAGACTATGTAGTGTGAAAAGGATCATAATAATCCAGAAACATCTTCTCTGCACTAGTGTTTTTCTATGTAGTTGACTATCCTAACAATATGTTGGTAGGGATGTTGGCTGTTGAACCTATGGACACTGCTGAGAAGTTAAGAAGAAAAACTGTTTCCATTCAGTAAAAGATATTCCTGTAACAGGCCATAGAGGCCCATAGGGCTGTGAGACATTGAGGTCACATATTATCTAGACAATCGGCTCACAGATGGCGGTAAGGTTGACAGCCTTACATGCTAAGTTTCCACTCTGTGGTATCTCTAAATGATGTCAAGTGATGGAATAACACAGGACTCCTCTGTTTCAGAGTACAAGAATGTATTTTAAATTTGACTTGAACAATAACATACACACAGGGACATTTTAATCAATATAAGCTCCATATGTCTGTCAACAAACTTTACGTACAGTCTGATGCATCACAATACAACTGAAATATGCTCAAAGTATGTTAAATTTTATAGGAAAGAGTGCAGAAAAAGCTTCATTAAACTTAAAAAATTACAGCAAATCATAATATAAATTAAAAATGGAAAACACCTCTCTTCTAATTTCACCTACATGCAAAATTTTATGTACAATTTGATTTTTAGTATCTCAACCCTTGTCACAAGAACAAAATTTAACCTGGAGACTCTTCCTTTTTGATTTTCCTAGAGACACTGGAGGAGGTAGCTTGTACACTGTACCTTCACTAGGAAATGAGCATCCTGAACAGAAACAAAGTTCTTTAACCTAATTTTCTTTCAGTATTCAACCTCATATTGTGTGGTACTTGCTGAAACCACTTATGCAACAGAGCGACTCATCAACTTATTACCCTTGCATTGAACCACAAGGAAATCTGTTTTCCATTATCTTCATTTCCTAATTCTTGCTGCACCAATACTTTAGGTGGTTTGTGCACTGTTGTCAGTCCTGTTTAATCTGTGCCATTGTTGAAAATTCTACCTCTTTAAAACAGACTGAGAGCTGCTGAAAAATTCTGTCACTACAGTTGTGTTAAAGGTAATAGATCTGGACAAAATTGTAGTCTCTGGCATGTGCAATGCTAATTCTGCATTGTACTTGAAGAATATACACTACAAAACTTGCCCTGAAATTTTATGTTCCTCCTTCTGTTCTTTTAAATTTAGTGAACTGGTAAGTTAATTTATGTATTCTTACTGCAATGAGTCCATGCTAAGTTTTGCAGAAAACAACAGGTAATATGACAACTTCCTTTCCTCAGCTCTGAAAATTTTATCATGGTTAAAGTTTTGATTGTACAAAAATATTGCATGCATGTATTGAAATTCACACTGTTATGTAGTGAAACATACTCCAGCTTCAGTAACACCAACAAAAGGATAAATATATATAACATTTAATTTAATCATTAAATCAGCACAAAATTATGAAGATTGCATGAAAAGATTCCATGAATACTTAACTCTGAGTGGCTCAAAACACACCAGTACACTGTCTTCCTACAGGTGACTACAAAATTGAATAGATCTTTGTTAGTTCCCTGAGGGAACAGAAAGATGATACAAGCAGCATCCCTGAGTTGACACTTTCCACTACTTATACTGTCACGTGTTGGGAATATGTCATGCGACAAATAACTTCACGCCATTTTGGATCTAACGAATTTATTGAACACTCACATTTACACAATTCACAATTTCCCAAGTACTGCCATCGGCAGCATCACAATTACATCTTCTGCTGTAGTCACTTCCATGCACTCGATACAACCCGACTGAGCGACTGCTAGAGTGAAACTGACCTCGGCAACTTCATGATCCACCGTGTCACTCCTGATCACACACTCTCTTCACATACTGCTCAGCCGGCTTTTTATACCGTTCCCTGTTGCCTCATGTTACCAGTGGTGTCCCCAGGGAACATTAAAATGAGGGTTTCTTTGTCACTTCACCATACCTCTGCAAATTCATCTATATACAATATATAATATATTGTCGCATGTCTGCTAGACAATGCGACAAGAAATTGTGTGGGTTCTCAGATTTGAACAAATATTTATTAGATAGTCTCTTTTACATTCACACTTACAATTATTCTTAACTTATAACGTCCTTTAGATGGTTCTTCTTCAATGTAACAACTTCTTGCAGTGCTGATCTTGGTGAAGTCTTCTCTGTATCTCTGTAATCTTTTCATATCACTTTGCATCTTGGCTCATTATAATCTCTTTGTATCACTTTGTATCTCAGCTCATAATCTGGTCTCAATTCCGACCTGGTCTTCCCTTATACCTTACCGTCAGACGGGCTAGAAGACACCTTGTTCAGGGTTCCATTTCACATGTTCTATCCACTGGCAGCTAGTGTTTCTTTTGTTGTAGTGGTAACTTCGCTAGTTAGCTAGTGTATTCTCTCATTGCTACGAGTTTTCCTAGCCGTTGTCATGCAACTGCCTCGAACAATTCATTGCTTAGGTTTGCTAACTGTTGTATAGCAATGGATATGTTCTAATTCCAGGCTGTTGTAGTGGGAACGTTACTCGTTGCCCAGGAAATCAACCCGGATCTCAACCATTTGGGCTTTCTGGCAGCATGCCACATGATATAAAATTTACCCTTTGAAGGCTCTTTGTCTCTTCTTATTATTTATTTAACACTACCTGTTTTGGTCTAACTGCCCATCATCAGGTGTATAAGACTGTTGATGAAAACTGCTGCTCTATTTTTATGCTGCTGTACTTTGCATTTTATGAGTAATGTAAAAGGATTATAAAACGTTTGAAGTTATGTTTTAGATTATCATGCCTTGGTTACTTTATTTGTTTGGTGTGTTGGTTTCTTCCCTTTGTACTGTGTGTAGCTGTTCATTGAATGTTGAATGCATAAAAAATCTGATGAAATGATCTGGGAAAGAAAAGGTACAGGCAGAAGGACAAAATCTGCCCACATGTAAAATGCACTGAAAGTATTTCACTGCACATTGTGGAGAATATTGGTATGTCTCTTACAGCCAACAATCCTGTTTGTGGTGCCTTCCTTGCTGCTGTTTCTGGCATCACATCCCACTGTAACAAAGGAACACTTGTCATCTATTGAGAAGGTCATATGTGGAGCTGCTCCTGCAACAAAGAACCTCATTGATAAATTTAAGGCCAAAGTCGACAGAGATATCCAGTTCAGTCAAGGTCAGTAGATGTTATTAGCATGAGATTTAAACACGTAGGTATGTCAATAAGTGAGTTACAAATGGATATAGAACTTAAACAAATAAGAGTACTGATTTGAAAAATGCTTTTATTTCTCAACATAATCTCCCTGTACATTGAGGCACTTGCCTCATCGTTTCACAAGCCCCTGAAAACCAGCAGCATAAAATTCTTTGGGCTGCTGTCAGAACCAGGCGGTGACTGGGATCATGAAGGCATACTGCTCACCGCATGCCAACTCCTACTGTAACATCCTCAGGAAACTTCATAAGGACATTCAACGGAAGCGACCAGGACTCCTCACCAAAGGCGTGTTGGTCTTGCATGACAACACGTGTCCCCATACTGCCAACAAGAGAAATGAGACACTGTGAAATTTCAAGTGGAAAGTCCTTGAGCATCCTCCGTATAGCCCCGACCTTGCTCCAAGCGACTTCCATTTGTTCTGCCCTCTTAAACATCATCTTTCAGCTGGACATTTTCCTGACGATGAAGCTGTAGAAAGGGAAGATCTTCATCCAAAAAAATCTATGTACACCATAACAGCTAAGGCTTTCATACATACTGGCAAGAGTATAGAATAAATTCATGTCTTTCAGTGTCCTCTATTAGGACAATGGCAGGAAGTGGGAAAAAGAAAAGGTACGCGCACACACACATACACGCACACTAGAATTTTCAAAATAGTAACAGTAGACATATTTCACTTTCTCGTGCAGTCATCTTGACTTTCAATGCATGTAGTCAAATAGTCCAAATGTTCCCTGATTTAATCAAGATGGGCTGATTTTGGTTGAGCCTTATGCAATGTCAGCATTGCGTCTTGATGTTACTAATTCTTGTTTCAGATGTAGTTTCAGTAGTGCGAAATCATAGGTTCTTCTGTACTTTGTTCAATTTGCTCCTTAACCTCAGTATTGTTACAGTTAATGGCTGCCCAGAATGTTAATCATCAACACTTGTCTGCCCTACTTTGAATCTTTCCACTAATTACTGTGTAACAGTTTGTGATATGCTTCACTCATTTAACCCATTTGTAAAATTTCCTTTCATTCATGTGCTTATTTTCACTTTCAACTGTCATTCCTCCATAAATTTCATTAGTTTTCACATAATCACAATGGATCACAGATCACTGTTCCCTGGCATATACCATAAATAGAGCAGTCAGGTTAACCTGGAGGAGGAACATTCCTCCGAAACGTCAGTTAACAAAATATCTACATGGCACCACATCCCAGAAGATGGAATTCTTTATAGTTACCACCATGAAAACCTCAAATCTTACACAATGGATTTATATGCTTAAAATTATTTTCAAAATAAACAGCAGTTATTTCCCTAAACAATATTCACCAGTGGGTCTTTATAATTGAGGCATGTTGTTCTCTATGAGGTAGAAACTGAATATATAAATATCCTTTACATGAATTTCAGGCTACATAGGGATATACATATCACAATAAAATATTTATTTTCACTACAATGAAAACCATCTGGGTACAAATGAAGGAAGGTTTGTATTGTTTATATTCAGAACCTTTTTCAGTACTATTAGCATTACTATTTTTTAGTTGACCTAATCCTTTCAGCCACACTAAGCCCTGGGGTTTACTCAGCTTCTAACAGAAATGAGCACCAGGAATTAATTAAATAATTTTCCTGGGGAGTAAAGCGTGGCTGGCGTGTAAGGCTGACAACCTTACCGCCATCTTTGAGCCGATTGTCTAGATGTGGGACCCTATGGGCCTTCATGGCCTGGTACAGGGATAGCTTTAGTTTTTTTTATTACCATTACTATTCATTTAATTTGGAATTGTCTTTTTTTTTTGTACTTTCTCCCATAATCCAGTATCAGAGCCCACTTTATTTACTTCAAAAGGTGATATGCAGTTAATGCTATATTTGCATTATCAGTGAGAGGATAAAAGCTATCAGCAATGTCATCCGCAACAACTGTTACATGAATCTGCTTTGCAGGCTATGGCATGACAGAAACATCGCCTGTCACTCTGTTTGTACCAAGGGATGTACCATTGAGTAAAATGGGTTCATGTGGCCAACTGATTCCTCACACACAAGCCAAAGTGGTAGACCTAACAACAGGGCAGTCACTGGGCTCTCATCAGTCGGGTGAGCTGTGGGTCCGGGGACCACAGGTGAGCATGCCTCATAAGACAGGATTCACTGCTCCTTCTCAATCAGCAATACTGCAATATTAGTTGTCCCTTGAGCATATTCAGTCTCACGTAGCGCTTTGATGTAAATGTTGCAACACATAAAAGTACACAGTTTGGTGAAAAAGTAGTACTGCAGCTTATGGCAGTTTAAAACTATCTCCATATTGCTGCATACTGATTTAAAAACTATGCAGTTTCAATCTTCATGGTTTAAACATATGTTATAGAGAACAAGTGCATGGCTAAACCCTTCCATAATACATATGAGCTTACTGGATGAAAACATAAATACCATAAAGAAAAAATAAGAGAAACTCTGTAGACTAGACTAGTCTAAAAGTAAATGCAGACAAAATGAACTTCAGAATTTAATGTCTTCCCAGGAGCATGTAGAATAATATTGTGGCATGCTGCCAGAAAGCCGGAATGGCTGAGATCATGGTTGATTTCCTAGGTAATGAGCAACATTCCCGCTACAATAGCTAGGAATCGGAACGCCATACAATTATATATTGCTATATAATGGTTAGCAATCTAACAGGGAAGTTTCCACTGTTACACATGAACTGTTTGGAACAGCTTTTGCATATGTAACAATGCCATGCTGAAGTATACACACATGGTGCTACCAGCTCACCAACGTTAGGCACAGTACTGGTCTGCTGCTCATTGGAAGGAAAAGCTGACAGCTGACCAGACAGTAATTTGATAAAGACACTTCATCAAGAGCTATGTAGCAGACAACTCTACAGTGAACTGTGACACATACAGTTCAGCTATTCACAAGTAGGCTGAGCAAGAAAATGAAAATGTTATTGCAACTGAATGTATTAAGCGCCTCCATCTAGTGCTGAGGCCACGAATGGTGGAGCTATGCATTTTACTACCCCACGTGTGTTAATGGCATAGCACCCAGGAAAATTTTTATCTTTATTGCATCAATCACATTTTGTACAACTGTGCCAAATATGCTTTGAAAGTTCTATGTAGCACTGAAAACTCGGTTTTAAAAGTGTTTGCAGATTTTTCAAACTTGGTTAAAAAATGAGAACATGAATTTTTTCTTTAATTTTGTAAAGTTCAGTACCACAAAGTCAAGAGGCATGTTCCAGCTGTATCAGCTTTAATGCAGTCAAGCAAATCATGTAGAATTGAAAATCAATAGTAGTTAATTTTTTTTTTTCACTCGGCTGCAATGACGGCCATGTGGCAATATGCAGTTTCATTTCTGATCTGGTCAACAAAATGGCAAGCCATAAACTAGGAGCACTTTCTGAGCTATACCTTCATTTCTTTCACCATTTCATGCCACAATTTCAGGTCACACTTCTCAAATTTGAAACATGAACAACACTTTCTTGTGACCTTTATTTGATTATGGAATATTTCTGGAATTCCTGGAGAAAATAATGATGTTCTTCCATACAAAAATTACATTTGCATTATGGAAGGCCTATTATTCAGTTCATATACCCAACAAATTTAAACCTGAAACACTGAATGTGTACACTAGAGATCTCACATATATTGAGAAGTGGTTTCCTTTTGAAAATTCTGAGTGTTTCAAGTCTGGCTGCTCATGAGAAATTGAAGTAATTCAAATCTGGATGTTGTCACCATGGAAAAAGGAGCTCCATTCGAATTATATTTATGAGGAAGTTGGTAACATGGACATGATGTTCCCTTCCCTCTAAACAACACCTCTTGATAAGTACAAATATTTTTTCAGCAAAGAACCTGCAAATCCAGATTTGTTAAAAGTAGTTCAATATTCTTTCTCATTCCATGTGTAAACTGTGGTTGTGGAAAGGATTTTTAGTGTCACGGGTAATGCATGGAATGATGAAAGCAACGGACTGAGTGTTGAGTCAGTAAGAAGTAAAATTTTTGCTTTTATAAATGTACCTTTGGGTTTGTTTAGAACCAATATATGAATTTTTGAAAAATAAAAAACTGATGAACACCATACAACATCATGTAAAATGAGATGTAATATATATTTTTGCCAATAAACGCCCCATACCTTTTTTTTTTGGCCAACTAATTTTTATCACCTGCATCCAATGCTCTTGTTGAAACCAACTGGGAAACCTAGTTGGCTCCACACCAAATTTAACATGATCAGCCTCAATGTTTCATCAGCTACTGCCATCAAATCTAAGTGATGACATATACCAGGCAGTCATCATTTTGTTTTACATTCTACTAAAGACTTATCTCAATAAATGTTGCATATTTTTCCAAGATCTACTACCACACATCATTCTGCACCCTGGATTACATGCCACTAATTTTGCTCTCACCTCAGAAGTTTGTTCATCAACCATGTTGGTATTATCAACTGTAAGAAATTTAAGATTTTGAAAAATATAAAAGAACTGGAGTGTCTCTGATGGCACATTCATACCACATTTCAGGAAAATCAGTTAATATAAAGGGGAGAATCACAGAGAGTATGATGATCTCATAAGGAGACTAACAACTAGCATGGAAATAATTCGTGGCTGTATAACTCATGCCAAATGCACTGGTTACTCACCACCAGAGAAACATTAAATAAATAAAACCAAAATGACGCTTAAACTAACTTAACCTAAATATCTGTAATGTCACCACTCAGTTTCTAGAGCCTTATATGACAGACATTGCACTTCATATCTTCCCATCTGCACCATCGTGAGACTGCCATGAAATGCCATCTGATTCAGCAGACTAATGTTCTGTATTATAATATGTCATGTCAGGTGATGCAGGGTTATCTTAACAACGATGAGGCAACCCAAGAGACAATTGACTCGGAGGGGTGGCTGCATACTGGTGATGTTGCTTATTATGATGATGACGAGTACTTTTACATTGTGGACCGCACCAAAGAACTCATCAAGGTTAAGGGAAACCAAGTAAGTTCACACATTTAAGCACTCACTTTTGCCTGCATCTGAACCACACACAAAGTAGCTTCACAATTTTCTTGGTATATAAAAATTGTATCTTTTACATATGTAATATAACCACAAAGATGTCTTGGTGTAGTGGTTACAAAATCCTACCACACAAGGGACAATTTAAAAGGATCCAAACCCTGTTCAGCTCAAAAGTCTCCATATTACATATAAAAGGTCAATGCTTCCTACTGCTGTTTTGTTTGTTAGCAGTCATAGTTAGTAGCCATTACAGATAGGAGCAGAACAAGGCAGCAAGGAACAGCGGCGGAAGGTACACTTGGGTCCGCATTGCAGGGTTCACCTTTGCTGAAATAAAAATCAAAATGTATCTCATGGTAGTAGAACTGTTTAGTGCTTCCTGTTATTTTATCAAGTTGGCATCTTGTTATAGATGTTATAGATCATTCCAAACTTTCGCACTGTACATGATCAGCAAAACTGATTTCAAAGAGTCCCCCAGGGGCTATAACATAAAGAGAATAACAAGTTACTATTGGTTTATTCAACCACTTTGTCAGAAGCTGAGACTGTAGCATTAGACAGTATTTCAGGTACTACCCCAGCATTTTCCTGGAAGAACTGAGGTAAACCACAAAACTCCTCAGGACAGCCAGCATTCTGGTGAGATTCAAACCCATCAACGATGGGGTACAAGTCACAGAAACATACTTCATCATCTCTTTTCACTAACCATATGGTCACTCTCTCTTGGTTAGCATCTCACTCCTGTTCATCCAACCACAGCTTCATGCTGAAAAATGCCTAATATCAGAATTATGCAAGAGTCATCAAACCTATCCCAAACTCATGGCAACTAGAAAGTATGCTGAAATGTATCTGACATAGTTTACTCCTGAAAGCCAAGGCCACACATTAAGCTCCAGCTGCAAAATCTAACGATCTGAAATCAGAATTGATGCCACTTGAACCAACTTGCTTGATGGATCAGTGTTAAAAACTGTAACGAAAGGTGTCATGCCAGCATCATTACAAAACTTACATTTTATTTTGTATATTTTTATATATCTTCTAGAAAACAAAAACAAATTACTGATATTAATCACAATGGAAGCAATATGATGATGAGCATTTCTAATTTTATGTATTGAAGATAATCATTTGTGTTGTCTGCAAGTATTAATACTTCTAGTTTTTCATTTGTGAAATCAACCTATAGATTTTGGACTGTGCAACTTGCACATTGTTCCATGCTAATGTGGACCATCGTCTTGTTGAAAAACTGACCTTGCTTGTAGACTGTCATTTTCAATTTCTGGGGTCACAAACTGTAAGAAATATCAACACCTACAATTTCTTTATTGAAAGCCGTCACAACATAACAATATTAATACAGTATATGTTGTAATCCATCTCCTCACCAGATTGGACATATACACATAAATGGAGGCATCCGTCAAATAGAAACTGAAATTAAATAATAATGTAGAATATAGCAATGGACCTCCGAGCACCATAACAACCGTTTGTGTATATAACATGTCTGCATAAGTACCACCATACATTATTACGATTACAACTATCTACTTTGAAATACCGTATAATTATATGTACAGCTTTTAACTGTATTTTAATTATGTAACTAGTTCATTTTAAGATTTACTACATCATGTAATTAGCTCACAATTTAATAGCTAAAAGTTTTAAGTGTATTTACCTATTGATGGCTTCTTGAAAGCTGAAACATGCAGTTAAGTACTACTTGAAACTACACACATATATTAATATTGTTGTGTTGTGATGGTTTTCAATAAAGAAATATATAATACAAAACAGGATGCATTCACTAAAGAAAAAACCCCTACAATTCCAATCACACTGTTTTCCAAAGAAAACAATTTCCATGCGTGCCACTCACACAAAACCCATTCATAGCTGGTCATGGATGATCATGCGAGTGTGTGCAGGACACTAGTTTTCTCAGACTCAGCGAAGAAGTTTTCACAAAATACAAATGTTTGAACAAGCAAGTTAGCTCAATCAGTAATACATTTAATAGCCTCTACTCCATCAACACTGACAAAGCTGCAGAGTGTCTCAACACATAAGTCCGTAATCCAAAGACTGCTGATGTCATGATATCATACCACACGTGTGAAGGGTGTGAACAGGAATGGGACAGCTGCCCCATAAAAGCTTAGATGTTGTAGCCACTAAATTCAGTTATATTTACGGTGGTATGTAACTGATTATACATAGTGAAAACACTTTCATGGTTAAGCTGTGAAGTTACTTTGTGCTCAACCTGTATATCATGAACAGAAAATTTCTGTACCGATATTATATCCACCTACAAGAAAGCAAAGGTACCCATGTGACCAAGCATCACAACATGAAGACATACAGGTGGTGCAAGTCCCATACATTTTTGGCTTTGCACCACATGGAGGTAAGTGAAAACATGGGCGTCACCACAATTACTTCCTACTTACTGTGCTGAAGTGAAGAATTTCTTATATAAAAGGAGACAGGAAATTAAAATGATAATTTCCTGTACTCTATGGGAAGTTAATGGTAAGAACATTTCTCAGGATTACTGGGTTTTCTGACTTTGTCCATAGTCCAGTATTCTAAAGAACACAACGTTTCGGAAACTGGATCTGTTTCCACCCTGAGCTGAGGGGTTGGGAGACACCTACATTTCATTGTACACTTTCCTGTTATCTCCTGGTGACAAACCCCGATCTCAGAGAGAGGGAGAGAGAGAGAGGGAGAGAGAGAGAGTGAGTGAGTGTGTGAGTTTATACTGACATACACTGTCCAGTGACTGAGTTCAGCTTTTTGTAAGATACCCACTTCACCCAAGGATGAAAACAGATTCAGTTTCTGAAATGTGTTTTTTGAGTACCAGATGACGGACAAAGTCGAAACCCCCGATAATCCTGAGTGTTATACACAACTGGCAGAACCCTTTAGAATCTAATCATATTTCTGCCCTTTTTTACTGCCATCACTCCAACATCTTGGAGCATTCTGAGCAGCCATACTGCCATGCTAAATGCTCTGTTCGGTATTACAGTATTTTGTTTTGAGATCTGTAATTTTATTAGAAAAATCTGCCTTTAGGGAAATGGATGTACCGAAGCATTGGGAACCTTTCACAGAACCCTGTGAAAGTAGTTGGGGAATCACTAAATTAAGGACTGCATTCCCCTACTATTACAGTTTATGGTTGCTATACTGTTTATTAAGTAGTACAGGATATATCATTTTAGGCACCCTATTCTTACTTAAAAAAACAGGCTTATGAAATCATCATCGTGTCTGTGTGTGCCTTAAAATTTTTTGAAGGAATTGAACAATTTTAATAAAATCTGGGGCACTGGAAGTCACCCAAAGCCTATATGTTTTATATCCTACGAGTAATAACATGAAAAACACACAAACTTGTGAGGTGGGAGTGATACGAGCGCCAACTAATATGAGGTAAAATTATGGTAACAGATGCTCTGTGGTCTAGTGGTCAGAGTTCTGGCTACAGATCCGGAGGCCCGGGTTCGATTCCCGGCACTACCAGATTTTCTGAGAAGTAGTGGGTCTGGAACAGGGTCCACTCAGCCTCGTGAGGATAATTGAGAAGCTATTTCAAGGAAATAGCGGCTCCTGTCTAGAAAACCGAGATTAACGGCCATGGGGATTCATTGTGCTGATCACACAACACCTTCTATTCACTAAAATTGGCACTAACTTTGTCGACAAGCAGCGGTCACTCAGTCAGTATACAGACTAAAACCATGGAGTTTGTTTTGTTCTTGATGTCTGAAAAATATGCAACTCTCCACAATATCATTTCTTGTAAAATGTAACACATGATGGCTGTTCAAAAATTTTTCATTCAGCTTTTACTTTCAAGGTGATAACTGAACGAATATGGAATTAGCAATATGACATTCTGAATGAAGACATTGGTGTGAAACCTTGACATTATAAAGGTACAGTTATCCCTGTGCTTAATTAATTCAGCGTGGCAGTGTAACTACAGATCCATCATTATTAACCTCAGCACTAGATAGAGGTGAGCGGTAAGCTTAATGCCACTGTTACTATACCGCAAGTGAAACTACCTCCAGTACCCATTGTTCCATAACAGGATATGTATTTAAGATAGAAGTAAGGTAAAGTTGTCCCTGTGCTTAAATAATTAAGCATTATGCCATGAAGTTGTATGGGACTGCAGAGGTATGGCTCCATCATTCTTCACCTTGGCACTAGATGAGAGATCAGCTTCATGCCCTGGCTGCTTTACTCCTGGGGAAATGCTCCTGATAGTCACTGGATAGGAGACTGAGTGGGCCCCCGAACTGGTCTGCACACTGTGAAGAAAAATCTTGCCCCTTCTGAGATTCAAACCCCAGCATTCCAGCCCGTAGCCTCTATTAAAATAAACAAACATTAAAATCACATACAACTGTTCACCACTTGTTGACACTAATACAAACTGGCAAGAAGTCAAAACTTTATACTGAATGAATAAACAACCAATACTTAGATGTCACTGTTCAATATTATTACACACACTAAAGGAAAAATTATAAATATATAAACCTGCTTAACATATACTTCCAAGTTGTACTGTAATGGAGAACTACATTAAAAAGGAACAAATTTGATTTTTTTTTTTGGTTATGTAAATATGCTGTCAGCATGAGGACTATATAGTGTGAGAACTATCATTTCAATAGTCTGAATGTACTCAAGACATTCTGTTATTTTTCCTTAATTGTCACGCACATACACACAAGGAAGTTCAGGTGGGAGGAACCTTAATTATTATTAGCGAGACTCACAAATTTCATTTTGAATATAGAACAATTTCAGGAACAGTGGAGACAATCTCAGCTACCTGGTAATTGTTTAGGCGTTCAAGTGGGAAAAATGAAGTACATGTCAAGTCAGGCCATACAGATTCAGTTGGAAGAGGACTCCTCCAGTAATTA